TTACTGTCGAGTACAATGTTGTGACACTGTTTGGCACTGTTTGCAGGCCCGATTCTGACATTTTATGGGCCCGGAGTGATACATATAGAGTAGTCCTTAAGGACAACGTGTGAATTTTTATATTTGTTCATAAAAAATTATAATTAAATATATTTAAGCATTTTTCATTCAAATACGAGTATAACACACTACAAAAAAACACGCTGTTTGTCACGGATTTTGTCACGGACGGTAGTTCAAAAAATCCGTGACAAATGATTTTTTGTCACGGATTTGTCACGGAAAAAATCCGTGACACCAGGGGCGTGATAAAGTTTTTGTCACGCAAATTAATTTGTGAGACTGTTTGTCACGGATTTGTCACGGATCCCGTCCGTGACAAATCACTTCACCGGAACCCCACCGTCTTTCATTTGTCACGGACGCATCCGTGAATAAATTTTTTTATTTTTCAAAAAAAAATAATTATTTGTCACGGAAATATCCGTGACAAATTAAAAAAAGGTTTTTCAAAATAGAGTGGGCGGGTATTTGAAACGGTCCGGAAAATTCAAATTTTAAATTTTGTCACGGACATATCCGTGACAAACTATTTCGAAAAAAATTTGAAAATTTTAGAATAGAGTGGGCAGGAGCTTTAAAATTTTCAGAAAATTCAAAATTTTGAACTTGTCACGGATCCCATCCGTGACAAAACATTTTTTTTAAAATCCCAAATTTCCGTGACAAATAATTTTCGTGACAAATAATTTTCGTGACAAATCCCAAATTTTGATTCACATTTTCACATTTCCGTATTTAAAATCCGTGACAAATAATTTTCGTGACAAATCCCAAATTTCCGTGACAAAGCCCGTGACAACTTTGTCACGGCCGGAATCCGTGACAAAAATCCGTGACAAACGGCGTGTTTTTTTGTAGTGACATATCAAAGAAATTAATAGAGAATGGCTAGAGAGATTATATTTAAGTGTTTGATAATTGACATTCGAGAATACCATGTACCAAAATGGCTCAATGGAAAAGTAGAACGATTTATAATAGTACATAATTTTGAATTGGGGAAAGACGCAAAAGTTATATCGTTTATGGAGTAAAATTTTCATATTTTGATTCACATTTTCACTAGACTAAAACAAATTGCAAGTTTCTAAATCCTGGGTACACTAATTTAATCTTTCACTTACACGAGAGAACATAAAAATTAGCAAAATACTATCAATGAATCATGAGTTTACATGAGAGAAGTAGATGAAAATATTGACATTTATGCGCTAACGTACACTTAATGAATCAAAAGAAAGTGTAAAATTTGTTCACAAACAATTATGGAGCCCGTTTGGTAGCACGAAAATCGGTTGTTTTGGCTGATTCTGCTGAAATTTATGAAGTTCTGGCTGAAGTGGCTGTTTTGGCTGATTCTGCTGATTCAAGAAAAAAATATTTTAAAAATATATTTTATTAATAAATTAAAGAAAAAATTACATGTAAAAATAGCTAAAATGGTCCTCTGCAGTAACTTCAGCCAATACAGCCAGAAAAGTAACTCCAACCTTACTTTTTCTGCTTATTACACAATTCAGCACACGAAAGTAAAAGTTACGTGTTTGGTGAAAAAGCTGACTGATAAGCCTGATAAGCCGAAAAAAGAGATCTCCAAACGGGCTCATGGTATAGATGTTTCAAAGTTTTAGAATTGTAAATTGTAGATGTTGAATAAAAAATTGAACGTAATGAAAAAATTATAAGTGGTTTTATTTTTAAATTTTTATATATTAAAATACAAACATACATATATATATAATAAATTTCTGGTCAGTTCGGACTGACCAGAACCGCTTTGCGGCCAAGCCCGTTTGAGGGCTTTCCGAGTTACATTTTTTGATGAAATTTTGTGAACATTTTCGTGATGAAGTGTAGCACATTCGCTCAAAATTTCAGCTTAAAATTCAATTTGAAAATCAGTTAAATAAATTGTTGAAAAACACTGCGATTTTTATGCATATGTTTGCGCAATGTTTTGAAGAATTTATTTAATTGACTCCCAATTGAATGTTTTGATGAATTTTTATGTGAATGTTTTACATTTAATTTCACGAAGAACATGCTCACAAAATTTCATTAAAAAGTCAACCCAAAAGGCTCTCAAACGGGATTGGACTTACGGTGGTTCTGGTCAGTTCAAACTGACCAAAATATTCCTCATATATAACTGGAAAATTTATGGGCCCTCGGGGAGCAATGGGTCCTGTGCGCATGCCCCTTTGCCCATGCCTCAGGACCGGCCCTGACTGTTTGACACTGTTTTGCATTGTTTTGCACTGTTTTGATGTAGATAATTTGCCAAATAAAGAAGGGATAAGAAGTGTGAACTTTATTTTGGATGTCTCAAAAAGGAAAGTGTGAATTTTATTTAGAACCGGAGGGAGTACGAAATGGAACTTTTTTTTTGAATTGATGCACGTTAAAATGGACCATAAAATTTACCTTTCTATGATATGTCAAATAGAAATTGCCCAATATAGGAGTAAATATAAACATAATTGCACAAATAGGAGTAAAACTTAAAACTTCCTTCAATAGGAGTAAACATTAATTTTGTACCGTTAATATCCCTAACCTAGTTAATTCTAAAATATGACTTATTTAATCATAATCTAGTTGATTTATGACTTATTCGATAAACTTCATATTTTTATGGAGTTTTACTATTTTTTATTATTTTTTTAAAAAATAAAAAAATTTGAAAAAATATTTTTTAAAATTTTTTATTTTATTAATATTTTATAATTTTTTTAATTATTTTTCTACGATTTTTTGAATTTTTTTCGAATTTATTATGAATTAAACATTTAATTAAAAGTTGTTGGGGCTTGGGTAGGGGTATATTTGTCCAAACACTAAAGTTACTCCTATTCAAACATGGTACTCATATTTTTGCATTTTCCCTATGTTTTGCTCCTATTTGGGGAATTCTCTCTATGTCAAAACTGCACGTTTAGAACAACTATAAATGGCCATATTCAAGAAACTTGTTTAATATTATGTGTAAACATTCAAGTGTAGAATCTTAAAATTGTATAAATTGCTTTAATAAAAAAACTAGAAATAAGAAATTGTATAAAATAAATGCTATATCTTGAAAACACAATCATCATAATATTAAAAAGAATTTGATACGAAGAACCAAAAGGGGTAAACAAATAACAAAGACCACCTTTCAAAAAACGACTAATTAATCTTCGGAAAAAGACGAATTAATGTATAAGCTCCTGAATTAATATATAATTAAAAAGAATTTGATACGAAGAACCAAAAGGGGTAAACAAATAACAAAGACCACCTTTCAAAAAACGACTAATTAATCTTCGGAAAAAGACGAATTAATGTATAAGCTCCTGAATTAATATATAATCTCCAGAAGAACAAAAAACCAACAGAAGTGTAATGAAAGAGAAGTGTAAATAAGCATATCCAGTGAGCCAAACTATCAATAGTTTCTTACTTCATATATTACCAAGCCAATTTGAACGAACTGTGTGGGAGGGATGATCGTCCTATTGAATTGGGCAATGTTTATATACAAATTTTTACAATAGTTTGTGCTCTTAATTAGAAGTGTTCTGGAGGTCATTTGCATTTAAAAAATTATAAGTTCAAAATTTAAAAACAACAAAATATTGACAATTTTATCTTTCTCTTTCATGGTTTTATGGTTTATTAGTTTACCGCTAGTGCCTAATCAAAATATTGATTGACTGACACCCGGTTAACTAATGTTACGGTACGGATAACTGTATATACAATTTAGTACGTAGTTGATACTACGTATCTCGGTTAACTGAAAATTGATTAACCAAAATCCGGTTAAACAACCGTGCCCACCCCTATTTGAATGTTGTGGAATAGACCGAATAGTCAGCGAAAAAAAACACGAAAATTAATGTGATCTCAGTTTTATCCAAAAATTGTAAAATTCTAATGGGAAAAGGTATAAATACCTTCTAGCATTGGAGTGGGAACAAATATTCCCTCTGTTCTATTTTTCGGAACGAATATACCCTAGAATTTTATATTCAAGTGCATATATATCCCTGAACTTTTAAAAAGTGCAAAAATATCCATCATGTGCTTATAAAGGGCCAAATTTACCCTTATTGACTCTAAATAGATAAGAACAACACCAGAAATAATTTAAAAATTCAAATCATAAAAATAAATATTTAGTATTATGTTAAAATATTAACTCTTTAATTTTAAATTGAAAAATTATTATTTTTCCGTTGTAAATAAAGCGCTTCAAATTCATAAATATTAATTTTAGTCTTGTTGCGAAATTTTGAACACGTTGTTACTTTTTTTAAAAATAACATTCTTTGATTTTGTTTAACCTTAATAAAAATAAATTCGTTATTTTGTAAACTCGGGCTATATATCATTATACAAAATATGTAATATTATAGTGCAAAGAATGCAAAAAATTAATTTTTTTTACATTGTAACACGTATGTTATCACTTTTTCGAAAGAATCTTAAATATATAGTAATGCTTTGAAATAATATTTTGATATGAATCTTAAACTCGGGCTACACAAACAATACTCCCTCCGCCCCATTGGACTTTGCCATTTTTCCTTTTTTGATTGTCCCAAAAAACTTTGTCACTTTCTCATTAAAGTAACTATTTTGTGGTTCTACTCATTTCTCCCTCTTCTGCACAAACCTCAACCACACAATTTTTACTATTCCTATTTCTCACCTAACTTAAGTAGTGCAAAGTCCATTGGGACGGAGGTAATATTAAATTGTGATATGAAAACATTAAAAGTGAGAAATGGACACACTTACATTTTTAAATTTTTTTTATTTTTTATTTTGAATTTATAATTTATTTTTGGTGTTTTGTGAAATTTATTTTATCAATTAAAAGTCAATAAAGATGAATTTACTCTTATATAAGAATATGAAGAATATTTGTACCTTTTCTGAATTCTAATCACCAAAACCTAATATACTCTGCATGCAAGAGCCGGTATCCTATTCGTCTAGCGCTCCCGTCTCCAGTCTGGTTTCCTCACCGAATCCCTATTATCAAACCAAAAATCGTCTCACGAAACGTATAATTCCACAAATCTCTCAATCATCTAACGCCTCCTGAATGCGGGTGAATACCAATTCCTTCATTGTTGAATCCTGAGTTTCAACTATGGTGTTGGCGGAGTTAGGGGAGAGCGTTTCGCGCGCTCTCCAGCGGATGAGCAATGCAACGGTAATTGATGAGAAGGTTCTCAACGAGTGCCTCAATGAGATCACTCGTGCTCTTCTCCAATCGGATGTTCAATTCAAGCTCGTTCGCGATTTGCAAGCTAACATCAAACGGATAGTCAACCTTGACGACTTAGCTGCTGGACACAACAGGCGTAAGATAATCCAGCAGGCTGTTTTTAATGAGCTTTGCAACATATTGGATCCTGGAAAACCCTCATTCACGCCCAAGAAAGGGAAGACTAGCGTTGTAATGTTTGTAGGTTTGCAAGGTAAGTTATCTCTGTTTTTTCACTTTTATATGGATACTTCAATTTTGTCGATCATTTTGTTATATTCTGAGTCTTTTTAGAAGGATATTTGTGTTGTTCATCTTGCTGTGTGCTGAGCTTTCAGTTGCAAATTCTAAAGTGCTGATTCTTGAACTCATTAGAAGATTGGAAAATTAAAGCATATCACAAGTATAGAAGATTAACCATACTACGTATAATTTAATTATTTAAGATATTCTACTAGTATTATATTTACAATATCATATCCAGTATTCTACAATTCTGTAACGTTAAAGACAATGTGGAATTTAATCGATTTAGACATTTAATCAATTAATTAGTTATTAATTAATTATACATAATAACATGATCTGAATTTTGGTGATTCGTTATTAATTATAAGGAATTTATAAATTATAATATTATTAAAGACGTTTGGTTTGTAAGATTGTGTTTTGTAGCAGAATTGTGTAATGAATTTTTATTTATTAGTCCTTGCATAATTATTCATTCTAGGTTACCTGATATTGCAAGAAAGACGTTGCCAAAAAAATCATTTAGATTATACATTACTTTCATGATTTTAGTTGGTATACCATATTATATTGTACTTCTGAATGTTGTAGATTATTAATTTTTATTACTTTGTATATCATTTTTTGTTACTATAACATTTTTGTAGTTTATACATAGTATTTTGTTATTGTATTATGTTCTGGCCCCCCATATACCAAACTCTTGCTCCACCCTTGCATTACAGTCTTCCTATTCTGGATTTTGTTCTATGTCAGGTTCTGGGAAAACAACATCTTGTACCAAATATGCCTACTACCACCAGAGGAAAGGCTGGAAACCGGCTTTAGTTTGTGCAGATACATTTAGAGCAGGTGCTTTTGATCAACTAAAGCAAAATGCAACAAAAGCTAAAATACCTTTCTATGGGAGCTACACAGAGTCTGACCCTGTAAAAATAGCAGAGGAAGGTGTTGAGACATTCAAGAAGGAAAATTGTGATCTCATAATTGTTGACACCAGTGGGCGCCACAAACAAGAAGCTGCTCTCTTTGAAGAGATGCGTTAAGTCTATGAAGCAACTAAACCAGATCTTGTGATATTTGTTATGGATAGTTGTATTGGTCAAGCTGCTTTTGATCAAGCTCAAGCGTTCAAGCGAAGTGTTGCAGTTGGGGCTGTAATAATTACTAAAATGGATGGACATGCCAAGGGAGGTGGCGCCCTTAGCGCAGTTGCTGCAACAAAGAGCCCTGTGATCTTTATTAGTACCGGAGAACACATGGATGAGTTTGAAGTTTTTGATGCCAAGCCATTTGTCAGCCGACTTCTGGGCATGGGTGATTGGTCTGGGTTCATGGAAAAAATAAAGGAGGTTGTTCCTGTGGATCGACAACCTGAACACCTTCAGAAGCTCTCTGGGGGGAACTTTACCTTGAGGATTTTGTATGAACAATTCCAAATTATACTTAAAATGGTGGGTCCTATAGGATTTCCTCAAGAATTTTTGCCAAAAGGGGGGGAAAAGGAAAGCCAGTCGAAAATCAAAAGTTATATGACAATGATGGATTCGATGACCAATGAAGAAATGGACAGTACGAACCCCAAGATAATGACGGAATCACGCATAATGCGGATAGCAAGGGGGTCGGGTCATATGGTGCACGAAGTAATGGAAATGATGGAAGGGTACAAGAAAATGGCAATGGCATGGAGGAGCAAGAAGAAGGGACTTCAGATTTCAAAGAAGGGAGATATGAGGGTCCTTTCACGAAATACGAATGCTCAGCACCTGAGCAAATTTCTCCCCCCACAGATTTTGGAACAGATGGGCAGAATGGGCTGCTTGCAGAGCTTGATGAAACAAATGGGTTCTGCCAAGGATATGATGGGTATGTTTGGTGGTGGTGGGGATTAAATAAATCAAGCTTATGATCGATAATGATGATATATATACATGTAGTCTAGCCTCTAGTCTCTACTACTTTACTCCAGACTAAAACTGTAATGAGCACAAAGTTTTTAAAGAAGGCTAAAACATTGGAACCGAGCCCTGGAGTGGCAGATCTGGAACATAGAGGATCCAGTCGTCCACCCCTAATATGAATGCTTTGAAAACATAACAATCTGGTAATAAAAATTTATACAAATGAATAAGGGGCACGTTTGAACAGAATTCTATTTATGCAATGTTGTCTCTCACTCAATGTGCAACTGCAATTTTTTACTAACCCCTTCGTGTGGTATTCGGCTATTCGCTTCCTATGTATGGCATTGTATCTTTGACATCTTTGTTCACCCATACTATTTAACCCGTGAGAGAAATTCATTACATGTACATTACCGGCTATTTTAGGAATGATAGTAGAGGAAGTTGTGAACTTCCCCTGATCCTCATGGCTAAGAGCAGAGCCTATGATTTCGTCAATAAAAAAGAATGTCTAGGTTGGTGCTAATCTGTCATTTGAAGCAGGGACTGAAAGTTAAAATCCTCGGCTGTTCTAATTTGTCATTTGAAGAATCTCTTGACGCTCCAGACACCAGAGTCAAGAACATGACTGCATTCCATAATCCTAGACTCCTAGTCGAGTGAAATTGGGAAGGAACCCCTTATACAAAGCGGAAGGCCCCTCAAGCTTTAAAGTTTTGTATAAGCAATGGATAGTGCTTTTGTAAATTGAGTCAAGCAAGCGGAGCCAACACAGACATGATCATAGCTCGCTAGCTCAGCAGCATTTATGATTGTATTTTGTGCAACATTTGGCACAAGCCTTGTCCACAAAGCTGCAAATCCTTCCTATGATATAGTGGCATTCATATTAAGCCACAAGTGTCCCAAAGGTGTATACAGAAAACGTGTACACCAAGCACCGCTCTAGTAATATTCATGAAAAAAGACCATTTTTTGAAACTCAAAATCAAACCGGGCTATTAACTTTGACTCCCTGAAAATCTGAAATGGACCTTTACCTACAATACATTTTTACTCTGTTTATGCACTACTTGAAGGTGAAGAAGTATTCATTACACACCCTTTATGGGGTTGCTTAGAATATGACTATAACAAAGCTAAGAGCCTAAGAACTATGTTGATTCACACTCATGACCCATGGCTACGTATAACACATCCCGATTTTGGATACAAATTTTACAAAATAGTTTGGACATGACAATATTGCAATACAATAATTAAGCAATCTCATCCTTCCAGTGAACTGTTCAGCCGGTAATGAGATCCTCAAGGATGGGGTGTCATCCTTTTTAATAATTAATTAATCAGTCTCTGATGACGATTTACCACTTGGCCTGGCGGGCGAATATCAAATCAAGCCAAGGCTTTCGTCTAGTTCAGCCATGGTTTATGGCCATGGCTGGCTTTACTGCCGCCGTGGCTAGAGCCCTGCTTTCTGGGCGCCTCCTCACAAGGTGCTTCGAATCCGATATTCTCCACCGCTCCAACGGTCTTAAACATTCGCCTCTTGTTGACCTCCTCCATCAATGACCGGTGCAGCAACTGGCTTCGCATGTCGACGAGCGACCGGTTCCGCGTCAACCTCCGCTTGTCTTTCTTCGGTTCGGCCATCTCATTGCATTGTCTATGAGGGTTGGAGCTTTCTCCAGGGAAAAATCTGGTTTGGCTCTGATGAGTTACGATAGCAGAAGCAATGTTGTTGGCTTCCTGCTGCTGGTTCCGTCTTCTCGGGCTCAAACTTTGATTGCTCTCCTCTCCTGATTGGTAATTCAGGTTTGAATAGTTTCCTGAGTGTGATGAGCTCTGCGACGTTGTTTCGTCATACATTTCATCTACAACATTCATCATTATTACCAATAATATAGCAATAAGAATAAGAAGGGGGGTTTGACTTTGCACCCCATTTTCAAACCACATTTTCAAAAAATAAGCAGAAAAGGGCATGTACCTCTAAACCATAGGTGGTGGCTTTTCCCTTCCATCTCTTGAGAAATGATCACACCTGAAACTGACCCTTGGGATGAAGCACTAGATGATACTGACCAGAACGGATGGTGGTAATCGTTGTCATCGTCCTTGTAATTGAGCACATTGTGATGATCAGCAGACTCAAATTGATTCCATTTCCTCCACTGAGGCACTAAGCCTGTAATCTCTCCATCAATCATATTTGCAATTTCAGACGGCTTCCAATCTGTAAACTCTAATTCCTTCACCATTTCGTTTGCAACTTCGGTTGGTGTGTCGCTTAAAATGTCAAATGGAAAATACACATTTCTAACCCCCCCTGGAATGTCACAACATCAGAATTTCAGAACCAAAGGGGAGAAGCTCAACTCATAAGACTGCGTTTCGAACATGGAAAATGGTATGGAAAGGGTGAAAAAGTGCAAACAATTGTGTTTTCTTTTTTTTCCTCTTCATTTTCTTCCCCTAGCATTTTCCCAAACGGACCCTGAAGCAAACAAGTCCCAGGGTTTTACTACAATATTAATACGTAGTAATATAAAATAGATAGACAAAAATATAACAAGTACTGCAAAAGTAGTATTATGGAAGCTGCAGTATAAAAAGTGATCATTAGTGAGGTCAATGAATATTAAAAGTCAAGTTTCGTCCATCTTTTTATTTAAGCCCTATGTATGTCATTTTTTAAACATATGTGTACCTTGTTTGTCAACAATCTGCACCTTAAGAATGATGGTATCATCTTCAGGATTCAACTTCCCTGTGATAGTCATGCTGGTTGATGGCACGCCATCGTTCAAATTTAGGTCCTCCATTCCAATGGTGTCATTCAGAAAAGGCTTTTGACAGGCAGCTATTGTCATTGGCATTCCTTTAAAATCATCTGAGGCAAGAAATGGGTCCAGAATCAGTTCCTTAGCTGATAATCTCTTTGAAACAGGTTCCAAACACTTCGCAATGAATTGCTGTGCTTCTAAGTCTTCAACCTTGTAAAACGCCCTTGGCTTTTTACCCTGTGAGTGGATGCCAAATGTTACTTTTACATGTTTATGATGGACTTGCAAAAAAATTGCACCAAGTCAAATGAACTTGACTCAAAATATGTCTTACCGATGTCACTTTCTTGTAAATTTGAGCAGGATTGTCGCACTCGCTGTATGGATACTCGCCTGTGAGCATCTCCAAAATACACAAGCCGAAAGAGTATACATCCACAAGCTCATTGTAATTCTCCTCGTATAGCTCTGGTGCCATGAACTCCGGTGTTCCTATAACCACACATGCAAAATCTTATATTGTATATCCATCTATAATTCTATATATACTGATGAAAAAGATATGTTGAGAACTTGAGATATAATAACTTACTCCCATTGTATTTAAATGATCCATTTACTCCCTTTGTCATGAATGCACTATGTGGTTCACATGTTTCCTCTCTTCTAAGTAAATCTTAATCACACAACTTCTACTAGCTCATATCCCTCATGATGTAGTTTAAACAGATAGTTGACAACACATTTAGAGGCCAAATGGTAAGAATAAAATTGGTTTATTTGTCTTACATTGCTAAAGTTGTTAAATCTGTTGAATTATAAAAAGTTATATTCAAAATAAACTCTTTAAATAAAGCATAGCATAAAAAACATTTGGAATTAAATCAACAAATTCAACAAAGTACATTAACCATATTTATATTCATTATTAACCAATTTAACGTGTATAGTAAAATTAATGTTCGGTATAAAAACTTAATGATAAGACAAAAACCAAGTTTATCAAAAGGTGAATTGAGCATTCATTATTTACAGCCTACCATCTCCTTAAATAAACTCCCAATTTGGTTGGGTACTGAACATCAACATTTCCTCTTATCGGATGAGGAGAGCTTCATTCTTCTCTTTTCATTAAGGTGTAGATGTCTAAAATCCATCAAAACCTTCCATCCAAACAGGATACTGACAACAATGTGCTGACATTTAAAATAAGTAGTAGTTTTAAGTACCTATAACGCTATGTGCCGTGGGGGATCCATGAAGGATTGCTGCAAGGCCAAGGTCGCCAATCTTGACTTGTCCTAGATGGCCATTGACAAAAATATTGTCACACTTGAGGTCTCTGTGGATCACCGGAGGGTCATGGCCGTGCAAGAAAATGAGGCCTCTCAGAATTTGACGCGCCCATATCTTTATGGCTCCTATCCCTACTTGCTTATACTTCTTCCTGTATCTGCACCACCCCATCATAAGACACATCTTTATGCCTCTCGATGATCTTATGATCCAACCGCGTATGCAAATCATCGGTTAAATCAGCTAAAAGAGGAGAAAAAGGCAATCAAAACATCCATTCAGCCATTACCAATACTAAAGATTAGGAAATTTCAGTCTTGATTGGAACCAAACAGAAACTAATAATTTTTACAAGATTTTATAGCATATAGCTCTTGAATTAATTACCCATTTCATCAAATGTTCAATAGTTTGTCCCATGTAAGCTAAGTATAAAACAACAAACGGAGGCATACAATATTTGACTATTCCTATCGGGTCAACCTTAAAATTGAAATCGGAATAAGAACCAAAAGAAACAGACTATAACAGAATCCCACGTTACAGATCTATAAAAATGGTGGGAAGATTTAGTTATTTACCCTCGGAGGGAACCGGAAGTGAACATCTCAGTGATGAAATTGAAGGTCTTGTTTGGAACATCAATCCAAGAAGTATAGAACTTGATGATGGAATCATGGTTGAGAGTGCTCAAAAGATGGACCTCAGAGTAAAGCCTCTGCAAATCATTAGGTGAATGAAGCAAATCATTGAGCTTGATTTGGCTCCAACCCACTTCCATCCCAACCACCATATCTATTGCCTTGTACACCTTTTTCATTGCCCCTCTTCCTAACAGTTCATCCAACTGCCAATCCAACCAACCAAATTCAAACAAACATCTCAGTTAGGCATCTCAAATCAGCAAAATTCAAAGATACGAACTCACAAACAATTGTTAGAGCTACTCCTCATCTCCTCTTATTAGGTTCATATTCTTGATTACTATTTAGGATGGAACTCCAAGTCTTAATATATATGTATATATACATATAATGATAAACACACAAAGTATAGAAAGAAAAAAGAGACAAAATCTAAGTAAATCACTTACACGAGCATAACGGCCAGTGGGATCATACTCGACATATGATCCAAGGGCATCAAGAGAGTCTCCTGCTAATGGTTCTTTGTACATGGTGGGGAAAAAATTATCTATTTATGTATATAAAATACACTCACACTATTTCAACATATATATTTGTTTTGTATGATTTTCTACTGGGTATGAAAAGAAACAGAAAGCTCTTTGTATCTGTGATTATATAATAATATAGTACTCCGTATAGGCTTTATGCTGCTTTTTCCTGCCTGGTGATCAAGGAAGAAGACCCCAAATTTCTTCTTGAATTGCTACCACTGCTGGTGGGACGTAATTATTGTAATCAGTAATCACTACTGCCTTTTGATTTGACTGAAAGAGAAAATGAAGAAAAACGAGCCAAGAACGTAGTTCGTTGAGTTAGTCTTGAATTTGACAGATAGAATAATGTGATAATTAATGGAACCAATGATTTGAAATGTGGGGTTTGAATATAATCCGCGTATATATATTACAAACAAAATTAGGGAGTCATTTTAAGAAGGTGAAATTGGTAGGACAGAAATCATATTGCTAAGTATTTTGGACTTGTAAGGTAATGGATATGCCGCGGATAGAGCCTTTCTTGTATTGGACGAGGATCTTATTTCATACGGAGTATCAAAATTGGGATTTTCTTATGGAATAATGACAAAAATATTAGTATAGGCTTACACATGGACAAAAATATAACCTGATTTTAATTTAAACAAAAATGGGACTAAGTATTATTGAATGGACAGAAGTACCCCCAAATAATCCTAAGCCTGCCATCTCTTCACGTCGATCTGCATACTCTTTATCTCAAGCTTGCTTGATTGCGATAACCGGTTGGAGTTCAACACCGCCCCCACCGCCGTCATCCCACATCATCATCAGCTCTATTATCCCACACCTTCATTGCCTCCTCTGTTAAGTGTTATCCCACGTCGTCGTCCGCACCTGCTCTTCTTTTCCTTCAAGTCATGTCCAATGGATTACAGATTCAAGGTGAAGGAGACGACGAGTTCCTCGGATGAAGAATATGGCTACGATTTCAGGTATAGCGGTGGAGATAAACGAAATGGAAAACGAGGCAGATGTGAGCAATAAGCTCTGGGGGTGGCGATTGGGATTTTGAATTGGATTATGGTGGCGAGCGGTTGGTGTTTAAGATGTGTTTGATTAGGGTTTTGATCGGAGCTATCGGAGCCAGGGCTTCAGATTTTGACGGAGTGGATTTGGGATTTGGATTGGCTGTTGTTCCGATATATGGCTAGTGGCAGCAGGGGAATGGGGCATGTGGAATGGCGGGGAAAGGCTATACTGGGCAGGCAGGCTAGGGACTGGTGGTTGGAAGGTGGCAGGGGAGTGGCGGCTTGTTTCGGGGCGGTTGTGGTGGTCGGGGGTGGTGGCATTCGGTGGTATGGGGATGGCAGGGAAAGGCTATAAGAGGGAAGTAGGCTGGGGCTGATGCTAGGGAGGGGGCAGGGGAGTGACAGCTTGTTTCGGGGTCGGGGGTGGTAGTCTCAGGTGGAGGCCCAAGGTGGTGGTCGTCGGGGTGGTCAGGGACAGTGGTCATTATCAGACCGGGTAACTATAAATAGACCGAGTAACTATAAATGTTGGATTGGGTAATTGTAATCGGTTGTTTCGGTAATGGTAATTGGTCAAATCGGGTAACTGTAATTAGCAGATTAGATAATTGTAACTAATCGGATCGGGTAACTGTAACTGGTCGCGTCAGGTAACTGTAACTGATCGGGTCGAGTAACTGTAACTGATTGCATCAAGTAACTGTAACCGATTGAGTTATGTAACTGTAACTGATCAAGAATGTATGTAATTGATAATTGTACTATTGGTCACTGTATGAGTTACCTGGGCTTAATAAGGGTACAACTATAATTGGCCGAATAACTGATATTTGTACTATTGTTCATTGGGGTGATGATCACTTTATCAATAGAAACTGAAAAGGTGGTCACTAGAGCGGAAGTAACTGAGACAGTGGTCACTGGAGCGTTAATAACTGTGAAAGAAGTCACTGGAATGATAGTAACTGAGATGATTTTCACATTAATTTTAATGTAATAATTCAAATATTTAAGAATTTTCCATATCATAAAACGTAGTACTTCGTATGTATCTTGAGAAATACAAGTATGTATCTAAAATAATTTAACCATTTGTCGCTGAGAAATACGGAGTAATGCGGAGAGCAATTTTTTTTTGAAGTAATACGGAGTTTTTTTAAAAGAGGTAATAAAGAGTTTTTTGGAGTAACACAGGAGTATAAAAATCAAAAGAATCATTTGTTTTGAAAGTGCAATGTTAGGCAGTGGATATTTACGCACCACAGACACGCACTTAGGGAGAAAATTTTAGATATTAAGTTATCCGGATAACACTTCAAGGGTATTTTAGAAAGTTAAGCATTTAGTAGTCACATTTTTGGAAACCAAGAAAAAAGGTTTCTTTTATGTCCACCACATATATTTTAGTAATATTCATGTCAAAACTCCTTTTCTTATTCTTAATGTTCCAAATTGACTTTGGACCTTGGTAAGAGCTGGCAAATTATACCGTGGGATCGGTATACCATGCACATGGTATACCGATCCCAAATACGGTCCCATTTTTTTCACAAACGAACCGGCTACTTGCTCGATGGTCACTGCTCCAGCCGCCCATTCCCACTCTCTCACTTACGTTTCTTCTCTTTTTCTTTTCTTTTTTACTTTTAATTTTTGCATCATCAAAAGATGTCAATTTTCAAATGATATTTTTAATTTAAGAACACTGGAATTTCTCAAAAAAAAAAAAACACTGTGTATTACTACGTACAGTTTTGTGATCAAATTTCCATCCTTTCAAAATAAATTAATTACTTTTTCTTTCTCTCTTGCTCCTTATTGATACACTTTTTTCTTTTTTTATTATTCAACTAAAATTATAAACAAATATTAATTATTTTTTATTCAATTTTTTTATATCTATACACTTATTTGTAATTTTTCTTTTCATATTCACACTTTTTCCTATAATATATTTATTATCTTTCTTATATGTTTTTAGTGTTTTTAAGACATTAAATTTGGTAATTTTGATTTACATTTGATAAAATACGAGATTACATTTTCATATGTGTGATTTATATTTCTACATGTGTGAGTTATGTTTATTGATAATTTCTGGAATTCGATATTATATTATATGAAGTTACATTTTCATATTCATTCTATAATGTACTTCTTATCTCTTTGAAAAAAATCTTCTCGTTTATACATTTTTAGTGTTTTAAGACGTTAAATATTTATTTCAATTTGATAAAATATGAGATTACATTTTTCACATGTGTGAGCTGAGTCATGTTTATAGACAATATCTGGAGTTACACTTGATGGTATATGGAGTTACATCTTAGCTTTTGTGTACGAGTTACATCTTTTTATGTGTGAGTTACATCTTCTTATGCGCGACTTACATTTGAACTTGCGTCAACAAATTATATTTTCCATATATCTAAGTTAGATTTCCATCAATGTGATTTACATTTTCAATCACATGAGTTACATTAGAAAATAAACCCTTGTTAGTGAAACAAATAAAAAACATTTTTTTTTGCAAAAAACATGATATTTTTTGGCTAAAATTGAATTTTATGGCAAAAAAAATGATTTTTTAAAAACATTTTTTATGGTTCAATATTAAAAAAAAAACATATTCAATATTTATATAAAATAATTGAGCAATTAGACTCTTCGTTTTCATTTTTTACATTGAAATCAATGTTTTATTTCTTATACTTCGTACTCCGTATTAGATAAGTTACATTTCAACTTGTCTGCAATTACATTTTTTATCAAGGTGAGTTACATTTCTTTACACGCGAGTTACATCGCCCTTCTACTGGGATAAGAAAAAAGAACAAAACAAAAAATCATTGTTCACGCGTGAACAGTACACGCGTATTTTGGGTGTAGGAGTAGCGTGTTCACTGTGGGCTACTCCCACGATATAACAACTTCATCTCCAATGTTATAGTGTGCACGGTGCACATGTGGCATGAAAGATAACCACATAAATATTAGCAAATAAATTATCTTTCTCCTTATTTGAATAATTTTGTACAATTTTAGTAAGTTTTCCCCTGCAATGTCAACATCTAGACGGTCTCCTTGACATTGTGGAGAAAAACTTACCAAAACTGCATAAAAGCATTCAAATAAGGAGAAAGAATTTATTTATTAATATTTATGTGGCTATCTCTCATGCCACATGTGCACCGTGCACATTGTAGCATTGGAGATGTTCTTAAGAGTATATGCTGAATGTAATGATGTACAATACACACGTGCCAAGTAGGAAATAGATGTGTAAAATTAAACTGTACAAAAGTTTGTCTTCGTTTCTCTACATTCTTATAACAATGTCAATCGTAATGTATACGTCTAAAAAGAAATGGATGCTACTGATTATAATTTTGCTTTTTGCTTCAAATCGCCAACTCCATTAAAAATTTGATTACTTTTGAAAAGAATCTTTATAATTTTTTGGTGCTAATTATAAAATTTTCCCAAGATAGGAGTAAAGAAATTGCAATGAAAGAGTCATTATTTCCTCCCTAAATAGGAGTTAGTTATCATCTTTCTGAAAAATATTATCTTTTGGCATGATTAACCATTAATTTTACAGTACTACTGCAATAATTGTTAGTTTTTTTCAAACATATCAGTAATTATTCTTATTAATCAAAAATGTAAAACTTCTATTTTGAAATATCACATTATTTTTACTCTTATTTAGGATAACTTTTGTTCCTATTTGTGAAAAATCAAGTTATTGTATTTAGAGAAAAAGGTGAAATGACCTCTGCTACTAATACGAAGTCATCACATATAAGCCTTTTTATATGAGCCCTTTTACTTAATTAATAAAATATCACTTAGACACTCTTCACAATCAATCATACCAAGTGATTGGAGAGCAACACGTAATACTCTGTAGTAAGTAAATGTTTTCTTTCCTTTTTTCTTCTTTCTTCTCCATTACTTCATTACATGTAATTCAAAGTACACTCTAGTCTATAGTTTGTTTTTCTTTTGTTTTTCATTTTCTTCATTCTCTCTTTCATTTGTTTGTGCATTTTCCTAGAATAATTTATTCTCTTAACATTTTTCTCTTTTCGTTCATGTTCTCGTTTATTTGTTTGCTTTGTTTTATTATTATTCTTCCTTTGGAATAATAAATATTAAGGGCACACAAATGTTTGAGGCAAAGCCAAAAACTGTATAATTTTATGCACATTTTCAAAATCCTTTAATTTGAATCAAAAAAAATCTCTATAAAGTTAGGTTACATACAAAATGTCAATCGAAAAAAATCAATCTACTAATAACAAATGTATATCACATACATAAACATTTTTCGAACATGAACAAAAATTGTATTTTTATATACATTTTTTACAGACATTTTTCGT